AGGATAAATGAAAATAAATCCACACTTTGACATATCACAGTGAAACACCAAAACCAAAATATCCCAAAAACATTCAGAGAGAAAAGACAAAATCCTCAAAACCAGTCTTCTCAAAAGCAACACTAGAAGCCAAAAGGTAGCAAATATCACTGAGAGAAACAGTATTGAGAGAACACATCTGTCAACTGAATTATATATCCAACATAACTATCTTTCAAAACAAGGGCAACACAATAAATACAAACCTGACTTTGCCACCAACAAACTTCTAGAAGGAACTTCTTAATGATGTACTTTAGGAAGGAAATGGAGGGAGAGCAAAGGTCTAAGATATGAGAAGGAACAGTAAGCAAATAAATGGTAAATACAGTGACAAGCAGAAAGGGAATTAAAGCTCACGTTTATAGTTGTTCACAAATATAGCACTTCCTCCTCTATGGTTAGACACCAGTAAAAGACATACTATCAATTCAATCATACGACTTCAAAATGATAATTAGAGTCATCATCTTACAACCGCCACTTTAATAACTCCCTCAAACAGGCAGGGCTGTGCTACTGCTTCAGAAAGGCTAAGGGACCTGCCTGGGGTCTCAGCACCAGAGCTGGAACCCCTTTCTTTACACAATGACTCCCCCAGGCTCCTCCTCTCCTGCACCAAGCAGCCCTCCTGAAGAACAAGCAGGGCCCAGACTGGGGACTCTAGTGCGTTTCAAGCACCCAGCCAAGCCCCCCACAGATCCCACAAGTTGTCCTGCACCCTCGACCTGGAAGGCCCTTTTCTTGCCTGCAAACACAAATGTCAAGCTTCAACCCCTCCAGCCACACCAAGCCAAGTGTCACCTCCTGCTACAATTCCAGCTGCATTTAAGATCGGGCGATGCCTCGCAGCTTAGTGCTCAACTGGAGTTTTTCATGCTGCCATGGTGTCCTCTCTGCCCTGGAGAGACTATAAGGCCCTTGGAGATAAAAATCACGTCTCTAATTCTTTTTTCCTTTTTCTTTCCATCTCTCACACAGCCAGAATAGTGCTCGGTCAAGTTAGCATTTGGAAAATTGCTTGCTGACTGGTTTTCTTTCCCAGATGTCACTCCCAAGATTTTATGAAGCCCTAGGCCAACAGAAATGTATTTCCAAAGCAAAGGAGACTTGAAAGAGATAAAAGACAAATTACAGAGACAATGAGACACCTCTGAAGACTTCACTCTCTTTTCTCTGGAGGTCAGCCAGGATAATTTGAATTTTAGAAGCATGGATTTTAGATACTCAACTGTATTATTGCACATCGGTTTTAAAAACATACGTATAACCAATTTAGCTAAACAAAGACTAGTTAAGATACAAATTGAATTTGGCTTACACATTAAGATCATCCTCTTGGGTAGATTTTAAAAAATGAGAGAAAATGAGTACCTTGCCAGTTCCAGGAGGCCCTGCCAACAAGACAGCTCTTCCAGCAATTTTCTTGCTTTTGATTAATTCCACTATCACACCACATGCTAGATACCACAATAGAAAGAAATAATAAATCAATATTAAAATGTTTCACAGGAGGAAAAAGTCCAGTGTCTGGTCCACACAACTCAGACTCATCGAGTGCCAGGACACCACAGGCGCTGTTCTAGGCGCCAGAGGCAGTAGAGGGCCATGGAGCTCACGTCCTAGTGGAGGAGACATACAAACACAGAATCTCTACTATGAAGAAAAAAGGGCAACAAAAGAGCAAGTGGCTGGGGGCAGAGGTTACTCTATAATAAAGAGTGATCTGGGAAGGCCTCTCTGACATTATATTTGATATACGAAGCTGCAGGCAGGGCAGGAGTCAGTGTTCCAAGCAAAGGAAACAATAAATTCAAAATACAGGAATGAGCTTGGCATGTCCAAGGGACAGAAAAGCTGTGCTGACCAGAGTTCAGAAAACAAGCAGACTGGGAAGATGAGGTTGTAGAGGCAGGAGGGGCAGCACTCAGAACAGAATCTTCCAGTCCATAGTAAAGTTTGGATTTTATTCTACATGTAATGGGAAGCCAGTGAAAAAGCCTTAGGCCACATGTCATGTTCTGAAAATTTGTTTTTAAAGTATCTTGATGGCTGCTATGTGGAGAACGGACAGGAGGGGTACAAATGGGAGCAGTGGCATATACTCCAGGGGCCCACACACCTCAAAATTGGAAACAAGACTGTGTGTATATGTTCAAATGTGCATTCTTCCAGGGAGGGCTCACAGCTTTCATCACATTCCCAAATTAACCCACTAAGGGCTAAGAATCAATGACATATTCTACTAGCTGGCCATCAGTTAACTATCCCAGAATGCTGTAAGCAAATGCTGCACGTGAGGTTTAACCTACAGCATCCTAAGATCCAAGGAATGCCCTTCAAATCCTCAAGATTAAATTGTTTGTTCGTATATTTTAAATATTCTGAGTATTAAGCCATTTACAGCATCTATATTATATATAGACAGGTATGGACATTATATACATACAGCATGTATTTCGCATGAACCCTTGAAGTTAGGGGCGCCCAACCTCCACGCAGGCGAAAATCAGCGTATAACTATACAGTCAGCCCTCCATATCTGTGGTTCAGCAGCCCTGGATTCAACCAACTGGGGGTCATGTAGCACCCTAATACGTACTGATTGAAAGAAATCTGTGAATAAGTGGACCCATGCAGTTCAAACCCATGTTGTTCAAGAGTTGACTGCGTATTGATACATGTGTGTATATATGTTCAAATATTCCATAAATAGGTTCCTGGTTTTATGTATTTTAGAATAGTTAACTCTAAAGGAGTAAGGCTGAGAAAGTCACACTCCTTAAACACCTAATCTCAAGGTTTCTCACACTGATCTAAAAACCGAAAGCACAACTGTCTCCAAGGTGCACCATCCTTGCCTCAGGGCAGGCCCGCAGCTCCTCTACCTGGGTGGTACCTTGTGGACAGGGTCTTGTGAGCACATCTTATCTCCTCTCCCACTTTCCCCATGGACTGTGGAGACATACCTTGGTCCCACACTTAGACAACCCCTCAAAAACGTGGGTTCAAGGAATGCATGTGGATGTGCCCTATTCCATTTCTGGCTCAGCTGGAAAAGCACAGTGCACTTAACAGCCTAGAAGATATTCTTCAGACGCTGCATTTCTAAAAAGACAAAAGAGCCATTATGGTCTTTCCACAGTAACCTCTGATATCATAATCCTCAACACTGGAACTCTTTGGGCAACTCAAAAGAGGTAGAGGAGCCTTTGCCAACCTTGGCTACGTACTCTTATTCACACACTTCCCCTTGCATTTAATCTTCTTCCATTTAGGCTCCTTCTCTCCAGTGAGACATGTCCAGTGAATTCCAAAATTTAAAAAGTATGAACTGGAAGGGCCTTTAAGAGATAACCTAGTCTAACTCTCATTTTTCAGATGAGGACATTAAACATCAAGGAGGCTGCTGATGTGACCAGTCTCAGACAAGGACCTGGTAGCAGAGGTGGGATGACTAATAATTCAGTACGTAAATTCTGAGTCCCTATAATGAGTCAAGTTCTGGGTATATGATACTACCCGGTCTCTATCTTTGGGAAGCTCATATTCGTATGGAGGTACACAGCGTCAGAGTCAAGAGTATGGATTCTGGAGTCAGATAGACTTAGGTTTAAATCCTGGCTCTTCCAATTACCAGCCGAGTACCCTTAGATCCATAACCTAACCTCTAGGAACCACCGTTTCCTCATCTGAAAACAGAGTTCATAGCATAGTGGCACAAAGGCTAATGGGTTTATGGTAAAGTATGCTAATGTCTATAACTTACTTTGAAATGCAAAAGCAGATTGTTAGATGGATAAATGAACAGATAGAAGACAAAGCAACAGACTAAAATGTTACTTGTAGAATTCAGGAACACAGGTACGCACTACACAAGTCTTTCAACTTTTTTGTATGTCTGAAAAGTGTCATAACAAAGTGAAGGAGGGACAGGTATAAGGGTGGTGATGAACGATAAGACAATGGAAACGGAGCTGCTTAGCACAGTGCTCGGCACATGAAAAGCACTCAACAATGTCAGCTACTTGCAGAGACAGGCCCTCGGAGAGCAGAAGCTGGATAAAGAGAAATTTCAAAGTCACCTTGGCCCTGTCACTATTTCCTCTCTGGAAACCTGATGTTCCAAATGGAAACCAGAGGCTTCTCTTTGGCCCTTCCTATTAGCACAATCAGGCTAGGAGGCAAGAGCCTTTTCCAGGAGTTCTGTAGCTGCCAAGCCACCGCAGGGGCAAAATGGGCTGACGTTAGGGCTGAAGGGGGCCCGAGGGGGGCGGTCCTACCACAGAGCGCGCTGCTTCAGGAGTCAGGGGCACACAGGCACAAACTCCAGCATTACTATTACTAAACTGGGTGGCAAGCGGATGGGTGAAGTGACCTCTCCCACCCTCAATGTTTTCATCAAAAAAAAAAAGTACACACACAAAGAGCCTGAACAGTTTTGTGATGACAATGTGGCCGAAGGCAATTGGCACCAGCATCACTTAGCAGAAGTGGGCTTAACTGGAATGTTCAGAAAGGCCTCTGTACCTGCCACCTGCTCAGGCGGATCACCTCCCGATTATAAAAGTCCCAGAGCCTCCCACTGCGCTCACAGCAACTCAAACGCCGTGCCCGGGCCCGCAGAGCCCTGCAGGAACTGATCCCCGAAGTCTAATAACGGCCCTTCTGTTCAGCGGTTTAAACGTCTGTGTCTGAAACGCGAACTCCCGGAGAGCAGGGACCTGGCCCATCTACTCCCCGCCGACACCCGTGCCGCGCGGACGGCCTGGCCCCGAGCGGCGGTCAGTCAGGACTCGCGGCCAGGAGCGAGGCCGCGGGGTCGTCGCCGCGCCCCGGGACGTCCTCCCCACGCCCCACCCCCAGGTCCGCGCCGCCCGGGCCCACCTCAGCCCCGTCCCCGCCTCGGTCTCCCCCCTCAGTTCAGTCCCCACGCCTCAGCCCCCGCCCCGCCGCCACACCTCGCGCGCGTTCTCCTGGCCCATGAGCCCCGAGGCCGCCTGCTTGGCCAGGCCGCTCTCGTCCAGCCCCAGCCCCTTCACGTGGCTGTGGGAGGCGATGCGCTGCGTCTTGATGGTGCTCTTCACCTCCTCGATCTTCAACCTGCGCACCTGAAGCCCGAGCGCCCGCTCAGCCCTAGCAGCGCGCAGCCGGTTACCACGCAGCAGTTACCAGGCGGCTGGTCCGGCCCCGCCTCAGTCAGCTCCCCATTGGCCGCAGGGGGAACGCCTCAGCGCCCCATTGGCTCCTGGCTTTGCCCGTCGCGGCTGCCGGGAAGGCTCCACCCACCAGCCCCGAGGTTGGCTTCCCCACGGCCGGCGCTTGCTGCTCGGGTGGGCCTGAAAGGGCCGCTGCGCCCCAGTGAGGGCCCGTGTTCCGCTCTTCACGGCGTCTTCGCGTCCGTGACAGCATTCGAATGGATACCCTTTTGCGGAGCTCAAGTTCGACCTCGGTTTTGGAGATGAAGAGACAGGTTTAGAACTTAAGCTTCGATTTGTGCCCACTAATCAGTTTTGTGACTCCCACGCCTTTCATCTCCCTGGGGAGGCTTGCTCAGCATCCGCCTTGGGATCGTCCTCCTCTTCTTCTCCTCGCCTCCACCTCTCCCTTTACTTAGATTAAGTTGGCTGTGGATGACGTTTAGTGCAATTCCTAATGCAGATAAAGATTCGGGCTAAAAGAGGCCCAATAACTTATGAAGAACGCACAGCAAGTAATCAGAAGAGTTGGAACTCCACCTGAGGACTTCAGGCTTTGCAGTCTGTGTAAACCTCATCCCATCTCACGACCTCAGATGAGACAATTAGCCAGTGGCTGTGTCCTGTCCGGTTCCATGATGATATTAACACTGCTCCAAAAAGTGTACTCTTCGCATCCACCCAGTCATTCCACAAACATTTGTTAGCACCTCCTGTGAGCCAGACACTACAATGTGCTAGGATGCACACATAAAATACAAAATCTCCAGCCTTGAGAAGCACAGTCCTTAGTTGGGAAACTCGCAACATGAGGTGTGCCAAAGCAAGTACCCCCACGTGGTGTGCAAGCCCAGAGCAGGGCCATCTGGAAAAGCTGGAGAGCCAAGGAAGGCACCATGACGTGGTAACGCCTGGACCGATCCCTGACAGAAGGATAACATCCTCAAAAGCAGACGGTATGTCACCATTTCACACCTGAGTGGACTCAGGTCCAGAGAAAGGGAGGGACTGGCCCAGAGCTCAGGGGAGCTTGCATTAGGGTTGAGACAGACCTGAAGTCAAATCCAGGTGCAGGAGTTCCTGACTCTCACACCTCCTTGTACTTCTCCATCTTAACTTTTGAGTCTAGGTTTCTGATTACTTGCAAGACTATCAGGTCAATGTTAGTCTCTCCCACTAAATGGCAGGCATTATGAAAGTGTAGACCACGTATGTGTTGTTCATCATTTTAACCCCAGTGTCTGGCACACAGCCTGGCTCACAGTTAAGTCTTCTTATAAATTCAGTAGGGTTCTGGACCCTCACATACACACAAAATCATGCAGTTTTGCTGCAGGTATTTTACACAGC